AGCACCAGTCCTCTCCAGTTCTCCTTTTTATGTTGTTGGCAACAATCCATAGGTGGCCCTCCCACTCCCACCCCAAGCACCATGCTAGTCCAGTTCAGCTGGGTATTACAAGTTGACCACCAGCTGTCAGTCCACCACAGGAAGGAATTAGTGTGCTTCTGTTTGTATGCAGGATAGTTGTACTGTGTTAGGCCTAATTATGAACTTGTATCTGGAGAGTAAACATAGTCTAAGGAAATGCATCTGGTTGTCAAGTTGACAAAGAGTAGAATGTGATAGTTAATTGTGGTGTCAACTTGAGTAAGAACTCCAGGGTATAGATGAACCTTTTGCATACTTCTACACTCAACTCTGCAGGCAGCCATCACAAGCCTGCCTTATAAAGCCTTATCTATAATGTATTGAATTATTTTATATGCAATCTATTCCTCTTGTGAACTCTAACTGATACATGCAGTCAGGCATCAGTATGTAATCTGGTGGAAAGGAAAGGCTTCTATTTCAGATCCCTTGGTTTGAACAGAACCAAGGACAAGATGTTCATATGGGTATTCATCTTCAGCAAGTCTTGAAATTCCTCAAGACTGAGGATTACAGCATCCGCCCCAAGTGAATGGCCATGACTTCTATAGCCCCAGTGCCTGAGCCCAGCTCTAGCACTGACTACCAGCTCAGTGAGTGTGTCCTATGACCCCAAAACACAGTTATCTTCAGGTATTTAGAAAGGAAAAATGGCAGCATCCCAGGGAATACACCCCAAGCCATCGGAGCAATACGCTGGGGTGGTAGCATTGTGTTCTCGCATTTCTCAAAAACTTTCATAAAACTACGAGATCCATGGGCCAGCCAGATAGCTCATCAGACTAAAGTGCCTGCTTAGGCAGTCATGGGACCACAGTTTGATCCCCAGTGTGCCGTGCAGCCCTATCCCGGGGCATGCTGAGACAGCCACTAAGACTGGGCGTTGTGGCACGCACCCTAATCCCAGCATCTGGAAGGCTGAACACAGGAGGATCACTATGAGTCCAGTCTGTGTAGTGTGACCCTGTAGACCCCGTGCTAAAAATACATTTAAAAAACCCAAAAAAACTATCGGATCTTCCAGTAAAGACATAAGATGTGATGCTGTTGTTGCACTGCCACCTCAAGTTTAGTCTTGAGGCAGAGTAGTACTCTATCATATGTAGCACCACATGTGCTTCACCCATTCATCTGTTGATGGACCTACTGGCCACTTCCAAGATTTACCTATTAGGAATTGTGCTGTTATAAACATGGGTATGTATGTGTCACTGAAATGTGACATATTTAGCTCTTTCAGGAAGATACCTAGGAGAGGAGTAACTGTGTCATATTAAATTTCTGTTTTTAGTTTTGGTGAAGAATCTCCATATGGATTGTATGGAGATTTCCATAGTGATTGTACTAGTTTATACCCTCACCAACAATGTATAGGGGTTCTTCTTTCTCCCTTCAGCCTCACAAGCATTTGTTATTATTTAATGTCTTGATGTTGGCCATTCTTTGTGGAATAAGATGGAATCTCAGTAGGTTTTCCTGTTTTGTTTTTTGTTTTT